AAAACAAGGACTAACACTAGCATTAGAACTAACACTAGATCTAGAACTAGAAACATTCGGGTTTAGCCGTCTTAAGACGTAGGGCTAAACCCGAATGATTCTAGTTCTAGATCTAGTGTTAGTTTTAGTTGTTATTCAGTGCTAGATTGTTTGTCTAGTGTTAGTTCTAGTTGTACTTGTTATTCAGTGCTAGATTATTAGTCTAGTGCTAGTTCTAGTTTAGGTTCAATGAAAAATATGCAACAACCTAACACTGAATAGCCACTAAAGCAAGAACTAACACTAACATTGGAGCTAACACTAGACCTAAAACTAGAAATATACGGCTTTAGCCGTCTTAAGAGACGTAGGGCTAAACCGAATGATTCTAGTTCTAGGTCTAGTGATAGGTCTTTGATTTACACTAACTCGAGGAATACCCGGAATCTCGGGGTAATTCGAGGTTGGATTCTATCTATGTACATTAACAATTGTAGTTAAATATATAGATGTATTAAATAGATAATAACAATATAAATTTATTGATTAAATCAAGAAAAAGGAATTTAATAAAATCTTAAATAAATATGTTAATATCAGTATCACGAATTGCCGCAAAACCCCAAAAGAAAGTAAAATAATTGCGATTTTCTATTGTAAAATCGTGACTCTCTCTCTAATCTCTCTATACACTTGTTCATAGTCTAATAACATAACCCACATTGTTTTTAGAGCGAACATTCGTTCTCATATTGTGTTTTATAGAAAATGTAGAGCAGCAAAAGTTTTTATTTTGTATAAAAAAAAAGTAACATACAAAACCGAAAGTAGCTAACCATAATTTTAAAGTTATCTCTTTCACCTAATAAGGTTCAAGATCTTTTATGAACCCATAAAAATCTTAAACCGCATTCGTTTTAATAACTTTTTAACCACAAATTTCAGACGTGACAGATTAATAAATATCTTTTTTTTACTTTTCGTTTTCCTTTTTCAATCACGTTTTTTAAACACGTGTCTAAAACTTTTCCTTCGCTCGACACGTGTTTGTAAACGACCTTCGAAAAAAATGCTAAAAATTTAAACGATTCAATGTTGAACAAGTGTAATAACAAAGAATTAGTTAACCACACCGATGAAATTTACATTCAAAAAGTGATTAATGATGGTTTCATGTAAATCTAAACTTGTAAAACGCGTTGATTGACGGCGAAGGCGTGTGTAATTCGTGTTGTTATGTCGATTAGATCTAAAATTGCCAACTGGACGTTTTAATGATGGAAGAAGAACACTTCAAAGATTAATGTTGCAAGTTGTTTTGCATTTTTGGAAAAAATAAGGAAGTGACATTTCATTTTGAAATCATGCAAATATAATCAAATTTAATCAAAAGATTATAATTTCATGGACGAAACGATGCTTCTTCCTACATTAACACGTGTTCGGAAATGTGAAAATACAAGAAAAACATTCCTTTCATTTTCATTAAATTCGTAATTTTTTTAATCAATTTTTTGCGTCGATTATTGCCTGTTTGTTTCTCATTAATTTTTTTATTTCACTTTAACCCTCATTAAAGAATCGGTCTTTGTGCGGACAGCTGCTACCATAATAATACGGGGTACAAAAAAATTGGTCTGGACGTAAGAAGACGAAGATAAATCGTCGGTCGCAAATCACCTCGAAGGAATTTTTAACGCTAACTCTAGAAAGGTGGTAAACGAGAAAAAAAAAGGCCATTGTGTGAAGATCGTCCACTTTAGTTCTTGTTCTTATTATTTTTACAATTTACTCATACATTTTTTTTTTCTTTATGTTTTAACTTCTATCTTTAGACTCATTTATAAAATCGTATCAATTAACGGAACGAAGAAGTAAAAACAAAGAAGTTGAACGAAGAAGCTTGTTGAGTTAGTGGGTCGTGATGATTATTTTGTATTAAACATGTTAAAGTAATTGAGGAAGAATTTTATCAGGATTGATAAAGAATTCTTAGAGCTATTGACTTATGTATAGCACAGAACAAGAACAACTATGAAACACGAATATCCTATATACATTCCTGATAAATATTTCTGTCTTCGAATTCCAGCATCAACAACATTGACCTTATAAGACCATAACCAGGGAAGAGAAAAAAGTAATATACAAGCCTAGCTGACTGTTTTTTTAAAAGATCCCACCTCCTTTGCCATTCTGTATGAATCTCCGGTTGCTTCTCAATCTTGCTTTATTTATTGATCACAAGAAATGGGGTCCATCTCCTAATCCAAAGAGTAATCCAAGTGAAGTCGTGATGAACTGTCTCATGAAGGAAAGAAAAGAGAGATTCCCACTTTCCATCATCAGCGCTATAAAAATGCCAAGGCTCATAAAGCATTTAATTTAACGTAAACCTACTCAAGACAAGCCAATCCAACCCTAAAGCAGCACCTCCTAAACTAACCAGTTATTGAGTAACCCATCATCAAATCAAGCAAATTACAAAGCGACAGAACGAATTAGTAAACGTGATCCAAAGGAAACATATCCAATGTCAAAGGAACTTAACCACATAGTAACCCAACTTTAAAGTTACTCCACTAGAACAAAACTAGTAACTAGTAACTTAGTTGGCAACTTGAAAACAACTCAATCAATGAGTTCAATGCGAGAATTCAATAAACAAATTAGCAACTCAAGTTTAAAGCAACCCAACCTCAAAGTAATTCCAAAAACTAATCCAGTAAATAATTCAACTTCAAGGAAATCAACATCAAAGTGACTAAACCACATAGAACTGCACACAACTTAGTGAATCCAAACATCAAACCAACTGTTTCACAGAACAACCCAACTGCAAAACAACTAAGCGACACAGCAACTGAACCATTAAGTAACCCAAGTCCTAAGCAATCCATTGCATATACAAAGCAAATCAACTAAATTAATAACATACACAGTTGTCCAACTGCAAAACAAAGCTATCCCAAAGCAATCAAATTATAACATAACCTAACTCTAAATCAGATATTATCTAATAATATAAAGCTGACTTCACCATACACCAATGCATGTCAATAAATCATCCACATACGCGATTGTAGTTACTCGAGAACTTCGTTACATATAATGTTTTGAAACTTAGGTAATTCATACTGACGTCTTTTGCCATAAGGCCTGTTTTGGTTCAAGAGTTCTGTAATTCGAACAGTTCTAAACCTTTCCGCGCATCCATACTGCATATTATAGGTATGCGTGGAAAGGTTCAGAACTGTTCGGATTACAGAACTCTAGAACCCAGGCTTTCTCGTATAAGCTAGACAATGTCGCATTCTCCGTACTTCCAGCCATAAATTCGATTTGCTCATCACGCACAATCTCCTAGTCGACATTATAGATATAGATCTAACGTTTAAATCACAACCATTTAGTCAACGCCGACATTTCTATATGACGATAACACAGAAATCTGCTATTAAGGTCTTTAAGCATCATAATCACCTTAGCTAACTTTTATTCATTCAGGAATCTGCACTTCGATTTGCATTGAATGTACAACTTGGACACGCAACTAAGACACATCATGATCTTCATGAATTGCTTTATCATTTCCAATCTTATCCTATCCTGTTTTCTCATCTCTAAGAGTTTCCACAACTTACAAACCATTTGCTTCCATGAATCCAGCAACAATCAACTATCACGCTCATTGTCTGTTTCAAGTCTAGTTTTTCATTTTTTATGCACTTTTTGATTAATGCAATTCTAGACATATTCTTGTACTTTAGAGCTTTGAGAAATCGAATTAAATTTGAATTAAGTCAAAATTCAGAAAAGGGCAAATCTAATTTGAATGTCATAGAGTCATAGAAGATCGACAAATTATTTCTAAACAATCTTGTTATATTTGTAAACATACATTAAAACTGTTACAACTGTTTAAACTATTACAGAAACCACAAAGTGAGCTGATTTTGGAAAATTTGTTTTAAATATTTAAATTAATATCTTTTTTGACACTTTTAGGTTATACGAAAATGTAAGTTTCGTTTCAAAATTTTTTTTCTCAATATTTTTCCAATCCAACCCAACAATTATTATACATCACTTTAAAGAGAAAGCTTTGAGCTTTAATTTAGAATAAGTCTCATTCCTTAATTTCAATAAATACGGCTTCCAGGAATTTTTAAATTAACTTCTTTTTTGACACTTTTGGGTTATACGAAAATGTAAGTTTTGTTTCAATATGTTTTTCTCAATATTTTGCCAATCCAACCCAACAATTATTATACATCATTTTAAAGAGAAAGCTTTGAGCTTTAATTTAGAATAAGATTCATTCCTTAATTTCAATAAACACGGCTTCCAGGAATTTTTAAATTAGTATCTTTTTGACATTTTTAGGTTATACGAAAATGTAAGTTTAATTTCAACATTTTTTTTTCTCCACATTATTGTGATGCAACCCAACCATTATTATACATCATTTTAAAGAGAAAGCTTTAAGCTTCAATTTAAAACAAGTTTCATTTCTTAATTTCAATAAACACGGCTTCCAGGAATTTTTGAAAATGTTAGTTTTTGCTCAATATGTTTATTCTCAATATTCTATCAGATTTTTGTCGTTCTGTAGATACAGGTCTGATAAATAAATATTCAAATTTACTGCGCCTACAAAAATGTTGTAGCGCAAGTTCAAAAGAAAGAGGAAGTTGTGAAAATTGTTCTGCGAAAGCTAGACCCCACTCAAAATGTACTGCGTGCAATGTTTATTTATGTTGTAATGTAATGAAAGAATGCATATTTTGCTAAAATTGATTCCAAAGGCCTTTACTGAGTGTATTTTGATAACGTTTTAATTCTGTCACAAAGTTTTTGGCTTGGAAAATATCTTTCTCGCTTGATATGGTAATGGTATAAGATCTGCTAAAAGTTATTATCCAAACAAGAACATTTCTAACACCCACTTTATTCTGCCAATTTCTGCCATTTAGAATTACAAAACTTCTTCTGAAATTAACTAGTTTATCTTAGTGGTCCAACTCAACACTTGTAATATCATTTTGCAACAAGGAAACATTCTAGTATCAAAAATTCTTCCTTCTTCTACTGCATTTTTAGTAGAAAGATTGTACAGGAACTAATTTCAATATTTGAATGCAACATTCAATTTGTTGTAAAACAACTGGCATAAAATATTTACTGGATTTATAGAATCCTTATAGATTAAGTTTTTCTTTCTAACTTTTTATTACTTTGATTTGAATTGAAAGAAGAAATCAATTATTTTTTTGTTAAAAGAAATGATCTTAGATTAAATTTCTTTGAAGGTGAAAGATTTCCCAAAGCAAATAGATATAAACAGAGATTCATTTAAAATTATCAACCGCAACTATAGCAAAAACCAATTAGAAAACTCTGCTTATCCGTTTAATATCAATTTATTGGTGGAACTAGCAATCTAACGAATCGTTTCTATTCACCATTCCGTTCGTAACAGCCGGTCAATTTTCCCGACCAGTGAAAATGGTCAACGAACAGAAGAAAGTTATACCACACCAGACATCTCTTTCACGGTATTTGGCGAAATTCCAACAACCAACTCTCACTTATTTAAAACGTTTTTTTTTTATTTTATTTTCAAAGAGACCGTGACATTGAAAATTAAAATTTTTATAGAAAAGAAAAGTTCAATTTCAACATTTTTTAACTCACCTTAAAAAGCTCCATTATTTTTAGTTTTAAATCACTTAATAATAAATTTTTATTTTACTTTAAGGAATTTTCCACACAAACTACTTCAAACAAGGTCTTAAAAAAATATTTTTAACACTGAAATTCTATGTCTTCAGCTACTTCTGGTTGTGTTGAACGCGATGTACCGAACACACTGGCAAAGCGTTAAAGAGTGGATGTTCCGAGCTCAATGGGCGGCCAGTTAACCATCCACTTTCCTTTCCTACACTTCGACCTACATTTTCCCATCGACGGCCCCACAGACGGTGGTGATGCCGTAGTGCACATGGTTTCAACCTTAAAAAATCAACAATTTTTCTTTTTCTCTTTCTTTCATTTCTTTTAGATCTCTTACCACTAAACCCATTCTCACATAACTCTTCACTTTAATTAACATTTTATCCTTGTTGGTATCATCTTTTATAAGTTGCTTAAGAACTACGACATTTCACGTTTAACACTCAATGCCATTTCAAAAGATCAACCAATAAAGTTTTTCTTTTTAAGTAGTTCCATAAAAACTTTATTTATACATAATCTTCTCTTTAAGATAATGTTTAGTATTAATAAACTATAAGGTTTAAATTTTATAACAAATTTTTTTTGAAATAAAATGTTAATGGACGATTAAGAAATCTAATTAATTATATATTAGTTTTCTACTTTTAAATTTCTCTCGGTAACGTATGTAAAGTAAAAAAGTAATTAGCTCCGCTTATATTTAATCGTCTTAGCGAGAAAGTTATAAGAACGATACCGTTTTCTGAATCTCAAATTATATTTGAAACATTATGTTAAATTTAATTTACATCATTATCGATTTTTATTTCTTTATAACTCAATTTAGATCATTAAAAATAAGATAATAACTAAATAACCGGAAACAAACACCTGTTATATGCGTGAAAGTGCGTTCGAAAATTACATATCAACTTTTGTACAGACTAAGAACGTTATTTATTTTAATTTTTTTATCTTTACTTTCGACTTTTTTTGACCTAACTTTCTAAAACGGTGCGACATTGTCTGTTAGAGTCGAATCGTATGTTGGCGATTTTTTATTTATATTAGTTTTTAGAAAACCAGGTCTTGTTAAATTGGCCGAGCTGATTCTTGAGATTAAAAGAACAATGTCAGATGTCGTTGCGAAGATAATAAACATCTTGAAAACCAGAAAATCAAGTAAAAAACACAGAAAAGTAGTACAACATATTTACGATTTTGACAAAGGAGTAATTTTTATAAGACACCATTAACTTTATATCTGATCTTACAGCAAATCCTCTAACTATGTTATATCTCTTTCCCTCTCTCGTACGAAATTGTGCTAAACAATGCACACGTTAACGATATTAACATCAATGTTAGGGTTGTTCTTAATCGGCCTATAGGGATTCTCCATTTATTACTTAAAACTTTATTTAAAACTTTTTTCTTCATTTCCAGCATCCCCAAGGCAGTAGTATCCCAAAAAGGACTCCTGTCTGGAATACAAGTGATGATTTCGGCGATCCATGATATTATTATCCAAGTGCTGTAGTATCGTCCATTAACATCCTTGTATATCGAAAATTGGTCAAAAACCTGAATAATTTGTAACCGGAAAAGAATAATTTGTTACTCTGATAAAGGAAAACCACATTTATCAGAGAGTGACTCTTTTGGGATCTTGGTTAGGTAGACTTCTTTGGATGGATAGATCAGAGCCTCCATTGTAACAATCAATGCTAGGATAAAGATTTTCTCGACAGCACACCTGCTCAAGACCATATCCAGAGAATTCCCTAGAAGGCGATGCTCGCGGCAAAAATACTGAAGAAAACGCAGAAGAATTTGAGAAGAATTTTTTTGAAGAATTAAGGATTAAAATAAATGGAATTGATAGCTGCTATATTATAAAAGATATATGGAGGCGCCGGGCATCGATCCCGGTACCTCTCGCATGCTAAGCGAGCGCTCTACCATCTGAGCTACGCCCCCTGTACATAAAGTATAAAAATCCTCTTCCACTCTGTCATTTAAAAAAGTCTTCTTTAAATGCTACAACTAGAAGTAGTTTGCAGAATTGTCCTTATTGACCAGCCCATCTCAAAAGTCAGTTTAATGCAAGGACCAAGTGAAAAAACGGAGTGGAGAAAGGTAAAAGGTAAATTCTTGCATTGCTGATTGGAGATTTAGTAGCCATGGAGGAACCATTGTAGGCTGTTATTTCTGGTTAAGCAAGAAATGCTAAGAAACTTTTTGGTTCCACAACTGCAAGTGTTTGAATAGAACCATAGAACCACTTAACATACCTCAAAGCAATCACTCGAGGTTTTCAATCAACTTTTCCCTTGACTTAAATCGTCAGCTATAAATTCGGGAAAAACTGTTATGTAATAAAATTCCCTCTACCTTAAGAAATCGTTGCTGTAATGGATAGTTTGGATATGGTGATGTATATGTGGTAGTCTTAAGTTGTGTTTTTTTTCATGCTATTTTCTTCTAAAGACATATAAGTGAAGAAAGGGAATGTGATAGTGAATGCGAATTTGAATGCCAAACATTTCTCGGTAGGTTGCAAAACATCCAATTATAGGGAAAATGATTGATAATATGACAAAAATCTTTAGTGGCCATTTTACAATTAAATTCGATCTCAACACAATGAGAAAAGAAGCTCAGAAGTGGAAGAATGTTGTAATGCAAAAAGTACGGTGAGAAAATCGTGTAGCTGGAGCTGCTTCTAATAGAGACTGGGCATAATTATAAAAGATTGAAACATTAAAACACAGAATTGTAAAATACGATGAAGAGATCTGGAGAAAAGAGATGGTATGTCCAGATAATACCGCAGGCGTAGCTTCTGACTAGTTAAACTTTGGAATCGTCCTGAAGAAACACACTTACGGACAATTCGGGGCTAAATGGGCTGCATAAGATCCAAAGGTATATTATATTATCTGATCTTGTCTTAAAAGAAACGTTAGGTTGTATTGGTAATTTGGTTGAGTTGGGTTGCTAACTTTATTCTGAAAGATGTTAACGCAGATTTACAAATTTAGTATGGTTACTGTTGGATTGGGTTAGGTTAAAAATGGGTTATTTCCAGAAGTGTGGCGAAGATCTAAATTGGTGTTAATCGAAAAGCCAAAGAAGAATATAGACCAGAAAAAATTATATAGGCCAATATGTTTGATAAGCGTGGTAGGAAAACTGCTAGAGAGACTCATCAACAATCGATTGGTCCGGGAATTAGACGAAAACAATTTAATTAGCAAAACACAGTATGGCTCAGAAATAGAATAGGCACAGTAGAAGCAATAATGTCGGTGGTGTAAAGGATAAAAAGAAGAAAAACAATATCACCCACAAATAGAGGTTATGCCGTAATGATACTCTTAGACGTTAGCATTTAATTCCGTTCCTTGACATAAAATAATATCCGCAATAAAAAAGACAAATGTATCTGCTAGCATTAAGAAACTAGTAAGATCATACTTGTCAACAAGAACAATTATATTACCAGGAGCCGAAGAAAAACGGATAACTTGCGGCATACAACAGGGTTCCGTACTTGGTGGCACACTCTGGAATATATTCTACAAAGAAATAGTATCGATGAAAACAGAGGAAGGTATAACAATCATCGCTTACGCAGACGATTTCGCGGTCCATGTACAGGAATCGACTAAACAACGAATCGTGGATAAAGCAGAATTCTGCTTGAATGGAAATGCAGACTCTTTGTCAGATGGGTTTAGCGTTGGCAACCGAAAAGACAGAAATAGTAGTGTTAGAAGGCAGAAGAACTATGCCAGATATAGAATTACCTAATTAATGTCGATATGACCAAGTGAAGCAAAGAGGAAACTCCTAGGATCAGTTGTAAGATCGATGGTGCTCTACGCTGCCCCATCATGGGAAGAAGCCCTGAAGTACAAAAAGTACAACAATCTAATACGATCTGTAGAAAGAAAAATATTCATAAGTATAACGGCAGCATACAGAACAGTGTCCACCGAAGCCCCCCTTTGGATCTCCTTGTCCAGGAAAGATCCAGGAACTGGCGAAATAAGGATAAACCGATTGAAGAAAGTCGAGAGGAAACGATGAATAGGTGGCAACAGAGATGGCCACAATACAAAGGCTGGGCATAAACTTTCATCAAAGATGTTAGAGTGTGGCAGGAGAACGGCCCAACTACCAAATACACTACACTCAAGATCCTTGGCCATGTGCCTGTTTACAGATTTTCCCTGACCTCGTAAAAAAAAGGTTGGATTAGGTTGGGTTGGTTAATGACAGAGCAGAATTTCAAAAATAACTTTCCATAGAGCATTAGAATCAAACATGTCAAAACGTTAGAACTCAATGCTATCAATTGCTCAATAATTAGATAGCTATATCTCAAGAATTAGAGGATGTATCTAGTTTGGACAATTCGAGTAAGCCTGCTAGTGCAAGTTCTGCTTATAACACTTCTACTATAGGTCCAGATGGATGAATTTAGACAAATATTTTCTGTCAATAAGAAATGAATAAAAAAAACGTTTTTAATTAAAAAAATTTCTTTGCTAATAATTTGATTTCCTCAATATTTTTTGTCCTAGTTTAAAGTATAGAAGAAAAAACACAGTAAACAATACATTATATTTTTCCTAGATACTCTCTAATTATTCCCAAGAAAGATCTTCCGTGTGAAATGGTCCATACCGACACGAGGCGAGTGATGGAAGGTAATTAGGCTTTTTCTGCTTGAAACAAGCTTTGGTTCCGCAGGAGTAAAGTAACCGACTTTTACTTTTCAATCTTCTCTATTTGTAAATTGCGTGGATAAAAACGATCTTTACTAGATCTTTAAATTTCAATTAGAAAATTAGAAATTTCTTTTATTTTATTTTGCAAGTTAAAAATTATTTCATTTACTAACTGCAAATAAATTTGAATATCTATCCATACCGGCTAAATCCGAATGTTTCTAGTTCTAGTTCTAGTGTTAGTTCAAGAAAAATATACAACAATGTGGAGCTGAATAACAATTAAAAGCATCCTTAGGACACTTAATTAAGATGAAAGAATTGATTTTGATGTTTTTTGAAAGTGTTTCAAAGATGCTGGGAAACAGAAAAAGGTTGCTGTTGTATGTCAAAATGATTTTAATTCATTGCAAACACTTTCTGGTGATATGGCAAAGATAAAATAAGTGAATAAAATTGGAGAGGATGCTTTCCAGAAATTTCAAAAAATTTGAATCATAAAGGAAAGTTGACCAAATTGATTAAAAACTTCTTTAGGAAACTTAATTTGGATGCCAGGATTAAAAAAAAAATGAATTTGATGTTTTTTGAAAGTTTTTCAAAGATACTAGAAAACAGAAAAAGGTTGCTGTTGTGTGTCAAAATGATTCTAATTGATTGCAAATACTTTTAGGTTATATGGCAAACATAAAATATGTTAATAAAATAGAAATATGGAAAAAAATTGATTGGTTTGAAACCAAATGGTTCTAATCTAGAGCTGACACTAGCACTAGAACTAACACTACACCTAGAACTAGAAACATTGGGGTTTATATTAACCAAAATACAGTAATTTTGGTTTATTGAGTAGATAAAATTATAAAATTATTTTTTTATTTAGACCATAAAATCATTTTAAACAAAAAAAAACTTTCTACTTTTTATCCAAAACGATTGTCTTATTGCATTTACCATCATTATTGCATTGTAAAGAGAACAAAAGACATTTTATAGACCGTTGACCATAAATAATAGAAACTAAAATTTATAAATAAAACCAGAAAACATAACATCGTTTCATTTTACGATGTATCTCTCGAATAAAAAGGTGATTGTGTTAGTTTTAGTTCTTTGTGTTAATTTTGGTGTGAAAGCTCAAGAAAATCCAAAAAATGAGACTTTAAATAAAACGATTCAAGTTTTACAACCTAACGATACATCTAAGATAATCCAAAATGATACTAAACTGTTTGAAAAAAATTTGACAATAGAAAGAATTGTTCAACCAATGATACGAAGTAATCTTAAAAATGAAAATGAGAAAAGTATTAAAATAAACATCGTGAATCAAGGTGAAAAGAAAAAAATTAATGATTTTAAACCGAGTCCGAAAGTAGAATTTCCTGAAGCTAAATTTTTCTCAAATTCCCACCAAAAAGAGATTAATTGGAACACCCAATCTTATAGCAAAGAAATAAAATTTCCTGAATCTCAACAAAAAAATATTCATCCTTATCCATTTGTATCAAACGATTATTATAAAAATTATTACAATTACAACATAAATCCATCTTCTACTTCTACGCACAATAAAAAACAAGATGATAACATTGGTATGCAACCACCAATAACAGAGTATATAAACCATGGTGAATATCAAAACCCCCAAAGCTTCACGCAACTTGAAAAATACGAAGGTGGTAATGATGAAAGAAGATATCGTCCGGAATACAATTACGAGTTAGAAGTTCAAGAAAAACCTTACGAATTAGAAAATCAATTCCCCTGGAAGAAAATCGTAAAATTTTTAACGACTTTTGTACCAATCGGGATTCTTCTCAGCACTTTAATACCTAACGTAATCAGCATTACACCTATAAACAACGTTAGTAACGCGTAAGTTTATGTTTATTTTGGAGGACACAAAGGCCATCGATCAATCAACAAAAGTAACCTTCACCGAGAAACACCGAGAGAATCGAGTCCGTTCTTCGATAAAGATTTTTTAATTTCTTTTTTCTTTTCGACCGAAAAAGTAGGGCAATTGATTTGTTCCGTAATTAACGATTTGAGAAGATCGTTGACCGGAAGTTATTTTCTAACATTCTAAACACATCACATTCTCTATTTAACAATTTTGTGTCTAGTGGATGGCTCGTGCGTTTGCACGATAAAATGTGAAAGTTAGAAGAACACTTTCTTCTTTCTTTCCTTATTTAAAACAATTTATTTAAAAAAAATTTTAATTTTTCTTTATTGTATGTAGGCAAAGTCGTTCGAGGGTAGATGGAAATCTTAAGAAAAACGAAAAAGAAACTGAAATTGAAACCAAATCCAAAATGCAATTGGTTTATTCTTCGAAATTGGCGAGAGATTTTAAGAGGAAAGGCTGCGATCATCGAATTCTATGCGAATTGTTGTTAGGTGCTGGCTATTCGAAAAATCCGGAAGAAAACGCAGAACATCTGCTAGAAACTTACGTGGAAAAGTAGGTGCTAGTAACATTATTGACGTAATACTTGCTTAGAAATCTACTAAATGTGTCTCTTTATTTTTATTTATCACCCAGAGAACAAGAAATCACAGAAAAAACCGAGGAGTTGAAAAAAATAATGGTTGCTGTTAATAATGGAAATTGCCAACAATTTAAATGCAACTCTTTCATTAAAGGAAGAATTGATTATAAACATAAAATAGTGTAACTCGGAAATTTTAACATTTAAAGAGATGATCTTGGACGCGTTAAATATAGATTAAATTTGCTTTCAAATGCTTTTTAAATCAAATCGATATCTCAATTAGTTCTTGAGATACGGTCGTTTAAAGATCGATGTTTTTTAACTTAATGGTGATTGAGTCAAAAAATGATAACTTCAACATTTTAAAGTTTAAAGAAATAACCTTGAACATTGTAAAAGTCAATTAAATTTCCTTTCAAATGCTTTTTATCTCAAATTGATATCTCAATTAATTCTTGAGATACGATCGTTTAAAAATTGATGTTTTTTAACTTAACCTCTGTGATGGTGATTGAGTCAAAAAATGACAACTTCAACATTTTAAAGTTTAAAGAAATAACCTTGATCGTCATAAAAGTCAATTAAATTTCCTTTCAAATGCTTTTTATCTCAGCTTGATATCTCAATTAATTCTTGAGATCTTTAAACATTGATGTTTTTCTGATTAATATTTGTGATTGATGTCAAAATAGTGTAACTCGGAAATTTGTAGATTTAAAGAGATGATCTTGAACGCGTTAAATATAGATTAAATTTGCTTTCAAATATTTTTTAAATCAAATCGATATCTCAATTAGTTCTTGAGATACGGTCGTTTAAAGATTGATGTTTTTTAACTTAACCTCTGTGATGGTGATTGAGTCAAAAAATGACAACTTCAACATTTTAAAGTTTAAAGAAATAACCTTGAACGTCATAAAAGTCAATTAAATTTCCTTTCAAATGCTTTTTATCTCAACTTGACATCTAAATTAATTCTTGAGATACGACTCTTTAAACATTGATGTTTTTCTGATTAATATTTGTGATTGATGTCAAAATAGTGTAACTCGGAAATTTGAAGATTTAAAGAGATGATCTGGAACATATTGCAAGTCAATTAAATTTGCTTTAAAATGCTTTTTATCTCAAATTGATATCTCACTTCATTCTTGAGATATAGTTCGTTAGAGATTACTGTCTTTTAGCTTGACATCTAAAATTGAGGTTGTACGTAGTTTAATTCAAAAAGTCATAACACCCAAGTTTATAGATTTGAAGAAATGACCTTGAACATATTAAAAGTCAATTAAATTTGCTTTAAAATGATTTTTATCCCCAATTGATATCTCACTTCAATCTTGAGATATAGTTCGTTAGAGATTACTATCTTTTAGCTTGATATCTAAAATTGTGGTTGTACATAGTTTAATTCAAACAATGATAACACCAACATTTGTAGTTTTGAAGAAATGAGCTTGAACATGATAAAAGTTAATTAAATTCGCTTTAAAATGCTTTTTATGCCAAATTGATATCTCACTTAGTTCCTGAGATACGACTGGTTCTAGATGTTCCATCTAGCTCTAGTTCAATCCATAATTTCTGAAGCTAGACCATATCGAACGCTTTTCTCAGATCTATATATGCAATATATATTTCCCTAATATGTATTAATCATTTAATTAATTTTAATAAAGTAAAATTTTAAATTCAAATAAAACTAAAGCGACATCTACCGCAACCTTTCTAACCCAAGAAACTACGGTTATCCGAAACTACAAAAGTTCACCATAAACTTTTCATTTTCCCATCATTTAGAATCAATTCCAACTTAAAATCATCACCCCGTCATAAATATAAAACTCCAAACTTTCAAATAAAACATAAATTAAATCTTTTCATTAACAAATTAATTAATTTATCTTACAAAAATTGACTTATCACGTTGATAAAACAGATCCCGATTTAAAACGATTCGAAACTAATCTAATGTTGTCATCAAAAAATCGTTGACAGTTAAATGACAGGAACTGACACGAGGTAAATATTACAAAGTTTTCAGGATTTTCGAAGAAAAAATCTCGGAAAAATGAATGATACAAAGCTGGAGGTAAACGAAAAACACGTAATTAAGTTTTTGGGTAAAATGATTTTTTCTTTTAGATGTTTGAGGATGTTGGGGGTTATGTTGAAGGTGAAATGACGATTCCTGGGATGCAAAAAGGGGCCAAACCTGGCGAACCCGCATTTAATACTTTAGATGAACCAATTAAGGACACAATAGTAACGTTTTAAAAGCTTAAAAGCAATAATTAAAAATTTAATAAATATTTATTTTTTAGCTAAGAGATTTAAAAGCTGTTGGTGTTAAATTTGCTTATGTTTTATTTCCTAAAGAGAAGAAAACACTTCTTAAAGAATGTAAAGTTCTTTATTTAATTTTCTTTTGTTGAGGTATCTAATTATTCCTTTTTTTAGGGGATTTGTGGGGACCTTTAGTTTTATGTACTTTTATGGCAATGTATTTATTAAAAAATCTAAGTTAAAATAAATTTTATGAGATATTCTTTTAGGATTTTACAAGGATCAAATACAGCAGATGACACAAACGATGGTGGTCCAGAATTTGCTGAAGTTTTTGTAATCGTATGGATAGGTTCTATGATAGTCACATTAAATTCTAAATTATTAGGTGGAAATATGTAAAAGAAATACTAATTTTTTAATGCAATCACTAATATTTAATTTTTTTAGTTCATTTTTTCAAAGTGTGTGTGTTTTGGGTTATTGCCTCCTTCCAACAACAATTTCATTAATAGTTTGTCGCGTAATTTTATTAGTGGAACAAACGAATTTGTTGTTTTTTATTAGATTTGCAGTTTCAATGGGAGGATTTGCTTGGGCTACTTATGGTAACAAAAAAATGCTTTTAGTTTTAATATTATATTGAGTTTTAATTGATTTTTTTTGTAGCTTCAATGATTTTTCTTGGAGATAGTCAAAAACCTGGCAGAAAGGGTCTTGCTGTGTATCCAATGTGCTTATTTTATTTTATTATATCGTGGTTGGTGATATCTCATACGAGTTCTTAAATTTATTTCCATTAGTGTTATTAATAATAAAGAAAAAAAACTTTATTTTTGTTGTATGAGTGTGATTGTGAACCTTTTAAATTTTATATCTATTGTGAAATTATAATCATTGTCCAGTATTTTTTAAGTTAAGCAAATAAAATAATAAAAAAATGTTTTATAACCACAAATTTTTGGGTTTCCTAACCTTTATTATGTGGAATAAACTACTTAACTTATTCGCATTTTTATGTGGTACACTTAAAGATAGAATTTTCTAAAGAGGATGTATTTTTAAACTAAAAACTTTCTGATTAAACCTGGAGTCTTTTGAAAAAGGGTTTGATATTTTGGAAACCTCTGTAACCTTTAAAATTTTTGTAACCTTGATTTTCAAATTGCTGCTTATATTTTTTTCGCGTCATTGGATAGAGTTTATTTTTCTGAATCCATTGATGTACAATACATCCATTTTAAATGTAATATTAGCAGAGAAAAGACACCTTTAGACACCAAAGATTTTTTCTAGTACTAAGTCTAGTTTTAGTGCAATAAAAATATACAACATAGTGATATCTAGCAACATCATGTTTGGACTCATTTTAATGGTTTTTTTTAATAATGAATACATCATAAAAGAACACCATAAAGTTATCAATTTGTCTATTATATGATAACTAACTTCAGATTTAAAATGTCAACCTCAATTTTGACATATTTGTAATCTTCATTAAAAATCCTTTAAAATGAGCACAAACACGACATATTTATCTTTAATATTAATGAAGTTATGCTCAACTTCCGGTTAGAAATGTCAACGTCAATTTTGACATATTTGTAATCGTCGTGAAAAATCCTTTAAAATGAGTCCAAACATGATACGTTTAATTCCAATATTACTTGAGATATAAGCAACTTCCGGTTTGAAATGTCAATGTCATTTTGACAAATTCTTAATTTTTATAAAATGCCTTAAAATGTATCACAAAAACAAAAATACATTCAACAAAATTAAAAATTAAGGTTGGTATTAATATTTAATAATTAAATTGCTATCTTCATTGTTGCTAACTTCGGATTTAACGTTTTTTTATTCAAACTTTTTTGTTTTTTGAGATAAGTGCATCATGTTTGGACTCATTTTAAAGGTTTTTTAATGAAGATGACAAATATGTCAAAATTGACGTTGATGTTTCAAACCGGAAGTGATTATATTTCCATTAATATTAAAGTTAAATATGTCGAGTTTGGATTCATTTTAAAGGATTTTTTATGAAGTTGACAAATATGTCAAAATTAAAAGTTGAAAGTTCGAACTTTTTGGTTTTTTGAGATTAATGCGTCAAGTTTGGACTCACTTTAAAAGTTATTTTACGAAGATTACGGATATAATAATAATATTAAAGTTAACATCGACAATTAAAAGTTAAACCTAAAACTTTCTAGTTCTAGGTCTAGGGTTAGTTCGTTTTAATTGTTATTTAACCCTAAATTCTTGTACATTTTAATTGATCTAAAAATATTTTTTTTTGATTTAATCCACTTACCTTGCTTATAATTTCATCCATTTACCCAGGTTNAATGAAGTTATGGTCAACTTCCGGTTAGAAATGTCAACGTCAATTTTGACATATTTGTAATTGTCGTGAAAAATCCTTTAAAATGAGCCCAAACGTGATACGTTTTTAATTCCAATATTAGTCGAGATATAAGCAACTTCCGGTTTGAAATGTCAATGTCATTTTGACAAATTCTTAATTTTTATAAAATGTCTTAAAATGTATCACAAAAAAAATACATTAAAAAAAATTAAAAATTAAGGTTGGTATTAATATTTAATAATTAAAAGTGTTTTCATTGTTGCTAACTTCGGGTTTAACATTTTTTATTCAAACTTTTTTGTTTTTTGAGATAAGTGTGTCATCTTCATTGTTGCTAACGACGGGTTTAACGTTTTTTAATCTAACTTTTTTGTTTTTTGATATAAGTGCGTCATCTTTGTACTCATTTTAAAGGTTTTTTAATGATGACAAATATGTCAAAATTGACGTTGACGTTTCAAACCAGAAGTGATTCTATTTCCATTAATATTAAAGTTAAATATGTCGAGTTTGGACTCATTTTAAAGGATTTTTTATTAAGTTGACAATATGTCAAAATTAAAAGTTGAAAGTTCGAACTTTTTAATTTTTTGAGATAAATGCGTCAAGTTTGGACTCACTTTAAAAGTTATTTTATGAAGATTACGGATATAATAATAAAATTAAAGTTGACATTGACAACTGAAAGTTAAACCTAAAACTTTCTAGTTCTAGGTCTAGTGTTAGTTCTAGTTTTAATTGTTATTTAATCCACTTACCTTGCTTATAATTTCATCCATTCACCCATTTTGAATTAAATACAACCTTTAAATCCAATTAATTACGTGTTTTTCATTAAAAAAACTTAAATTCAACGTCAATTTTGACAAGCAACTGCAATATTAATCACCATGGTAACCGAGTCAAGTTGGATAACCTTAAAATAATAAAATTTTATTCCGATTTTTTTATCAATTCTAACCTAATTTTTATTAATTTTAAAACAATTCGAATTCTTTACGATTATCTCGCATTCATAACCAATTCGTTAATTGTAATTAATTTAAATCGATTCTAATTAAGAGAAATAAATTAAAAACATTTTTTTTGATTTAATCCACTTACCTTGTTTATAATTCCCTAGATAAACCAATTTTGAGTTAAATATAGCCTTTTAAACCAATTAAATAAGACTTTTTCCTTAAAAAAACTTAAATTCAATTTTGACAAGCATCTGTAATATTTGGATCTTAATAACCATGGTAACCGAGTCAAGTTGGATAACCTAACAATAATAAAATTATAACCGTTAATATTTCGCTTTATATTTTAATGTTTTTTTTATTTTATTTTATATCTTTTTTTATGTTTTTATATTTTTGTGTATTGCTTCTTAAGTGAATCTTATTTATACAGTATGTTTCTCAACAGACCTTGGGGTTCCCCATAAATAATTTAAAATCTAATTTAACCTCTCTTTTATCACACATATTTTAAACAGGATAAATAACATTAACAAATTTATGAATCATATGTTTTAATAATGAATACATCTATAAATAAGAAATTTAATCTTCTTAAATGAAGAATAGAATCATATTTCACGTTTTAAACTCAAGGTTAAAGTTCCAAAACCTCAGTAGTAGTTAAAAATTGTAATAATGCGGGTGATTTTTAATGTTTTTCTTCTTACAGTATTAATTCTTTTTGAAAAATTGCATGAAAGTGAAGCAATCCAATGTGTTGATCATGATAATCAACCAATTGATTGGTAAAGAATTAAAATAATTTGTATTAAAATATAAATTTAATAATGTTTTAGGTTCTTTCTATACAAAATCCCTCACATCAAAAAGAACAAAGAAAATAAATTAATTAACGGAGGAGTTGCTTATGTATATATAACATCAACTTCAACAAACACTTGGAAATTATCTAATTACCCAATTACTTCATTTCGATCAATAGTAGGACAAACTTTACAACCCTTATATGATGGAAATGTAATTATTAATTATTACACAAAGTAATTTATTAATTAATTTATGTTTTAGATAACAAACACATTATACATTTTATACAACGATCAACCACCAGGAACTAACCCAAATTCAAATCGTGGACACACAAAAGGGGTTGTGCTAGGTAATAAAGAAGGTGGATTATGGTTGATTCATTCAGTACCAAGATTTCCACCTCCAAATCCGATTTATTCTTACCCTCAAACTGGAACAATATATGGACAAAGTTTTTTATGTATATCCCTAAATTCAAAAGGTCTAAATGAAATAGGCACTCAATTATTATATAATGAGCCTCATATCTATGCTAAAAATATCCCTTCAGATTATTTAATGACTTATCCTCTTTTAAATGATGTAATTAATAATGTGCCTATTGCAAATCCACCTTGGTATAATTTAAAGAATATAACATCAATAGATGGAACAGTTTTTACATCATTTGCAAAAACCAGGAATTTTGGGAAAGAACTTTATGAGGACTGGGTAGCACCCACGTTGTTGAGTAATTTATGGGTGGAATCTTGGTTATTAGGACCAGGAAAAATTAATTCAACCTGTACAAGAACTTTTAGGTATAATTATTTTTTTTTTCAATTATAATTAATGATTTTATTTAATTTTTTAGTGTCTTTAATATAAAATCGATTAATATTACTAGTGCAAATGTAGTCTTTGATTCAGCTTTAGATCATTCGAAATGGGCCATAACTAGTAATGATCAATACAATTGGATTTGTGTCGGAGATATTAACAGGGAAAATTCTCAATCTAAAAGAGGAGGAGGAACAGTATGTTTATTAAACAAATTAATCGCAACTTCTTATAAATCAACAGTAAATTCAACACAACCATGTTGAGGTTATGTCAAAAATTTGACAGATTTAGGTTAGGATTTTTTTACATAATAAAATTTTGTTAAATCTTAATTCAATTTTATTTATACAATTCTATCACCACTTCTATTAATAAACAATAATTTAACAAAATACATTTTATGATTTCGCCTTATTTGAAGGTTGGGGACATCGGTATTTAGCCATTTCAATTTCAGCCTCGAAAAAGCTCGTCCTGTTATATAAAAAGTATTCCGGGTTTTTGTAATTGGTGCTTTTGGCAGCTCCAGGTCCGACGGGATTATTATTTGATGCAATTACCCTATTACTTAATCCGGATACGCCAGATAGGTTAGGTTCGGGAGCACCCCCTGACATTGGTTTATTATACACTGTTTTAGATGATGAGTACCACATTCTAGTAATTTTTGGTAAAGTATGAGAACGTAATAGATTTTGTAACATTTTTGGGTTTATTTTCTTCAAAATGATTTTTTTAACAAATTTAGCAAGATTAATTTGACAGCTATAAAACAGGAAACTGTAATTTAATGATTATTTAATTTGCATTATTAATTTTACATTTAATTATCAAGTTTATTTAAACACAGTGTTGTTTATATCCCCAAATTGTTAATTTTGTTATATTTTAATTTAATTACTTATTAGTAATTTTGAAAGATTATTTGAAGTTAAGTTAGGTTCAAGACGGGGTATGTGTCAAATCAACATATTTTTCTTATCATATTTCTCTTTCCGTTGGTGTGTGGTTTCCCGACTTCTTTGGTAGTTGTTGTTCAGTTACGTTGACCAGTTCATAAAATATGTAAGTACCGTAATTACCGGAGGCATTTAATTTGAGCACAAAGAATCGTAACAAAATTTCGTTTTATGTTAAGTAGCGGACAAAATGGTAAAAAAGAAGGCCCCAAAAAACGCGTTTTACTTTTTCTTTACGGAGTTAAAAGCAAAACAGAAAACACCATGTAGTAATGAAAAAGCTGTGGAGTTGGCTTCGCCTTTATGGAATGTATGTTACTAAACTACTAAATGAAAAGTAACCTTTAATAATTTGATTTCTTTAAAGCAAATGTCCCCAGAGGAACGAAAACCTTACGAGGAAAAAGCTAAAATAACTAAAAAAAATCTAGCAAAAGAAACTTGTGCTGGCGAATCTGTTTACAGTGTTTTAGCAGAAGAGAAAGAGAAAATCCAAAAAAAGTCTAAATCAAGATCAGACATTGAGACCATGCTTAAATTGGCTTATAGTGATGGAAGTAAATAAGATTAATTCATTTAAATTAATTTTTTAAAACACTAAATTCCTTTTAGCCCTTGCTGAAACTAATTTTTATCTCATCCATATCAATAATTTCCTGTATCATGATATAAGTCGAAAGTATTACCCCGCCGAAATCGCGCTTGGAAAATTTAATCTGCAAAATGGAATTATAAAGAATGAAGTTTATCATAGTGTAATTTACCCGGGAAAATTCCCAATTGGTTACACCTTAACTGCAAGACAAAAATCTGAAGAAACCCACAAATTACCAATTGATTTTGGTTCAAAAAATAATGTTCTAGAAGTTGTTAATAATCTTCTGGATTTTAATAAAGATCACGCGGTTTTATTTGTTACAGAAAGCGAATTGGATACAATTGAAAAGATTTTAGACAACATGTTTGAAGAATGTCAACTACCCAATCCTTTTAATATTTATCCACTTGATTACCTATTGTTCATCTTAAAAAACATTGTTCATGGCGCCGAAAATAACGTTTGGCCAATACTAACTTTAGGCACTGTGGCATTAGAAAAAGACCTCTATGGAATGTGTGAAGATATCGCTTGTGATTATCACCAAACCTTGGAGCGACAACTATTTTGCAGCTTATCAAAAGTAATACGTTGGGCGTACACCGTTTGCGATAATTGCAGTCATCATTTAGGAATTAAATTAATTCCTGGGCAACATGTTCCACCCAACGCTGATATTAAAACCATCACTGGCCGTCTTGCAGAATCAAAATTATCTTCAAAATCATCCCAAATTTCAAGCAATTCATGTCTCAGTGGAAAAACGCCAATTCCCACAACTGTTGCTGCTCCAAAACCAAATTCACTTAATTATGATATTAATAGTGACATTGCGAGTTATCATGGTTTTGAGAGTAGTGATGGAAGAGAACAAGATGAGGAGGAACAATGGAAGCAACCAAAACGGGCTATAAGATTAAAAAGAAATCATCAAATGCAAGGAAATGATGATGCATTTAGCGCATGTAGTGGTTCACAAAGCCAAACGCAAAGTCAATCGCAAAATGAACCTCTAAATTTGTCAGATTTGTCTTACAGGTCAACTTATTTACCTGGTAGACATCCAGAAAGTATTTGTAAGCTTATTTTAATCATTTTATTAAATAATATCTTAAATAAAATCTTATTTTGGTTGCAGCTATGGTTGGATTTCGTGGGAGAGGACGTGGAAAACATATTAAACGCAATGAATAATTCACCAAGATAATACTAAAAATTACAGCACATAACTGTTAATTTTTTCTTTTAAAAGTTGATATTTCTTTTGTTAAATGTGTAAATGTTGTGACGTTTACTGTTTATCGTTAATGTTAAAAAAAGAATGAATCTAACATTATATTTTTAAATCATAAATAGTCATAAATACAAAAAGAAATGTAGGAATCTTGGTTATGTTAATTTTCTTATTTTAACAGTCAATTTGACGAGTTTGACTCAATAATTTACAAACGACCATGCGGAAACTGATTTGGCTCGCATCTTGTAAATGTTGATTAAATATCTGTAGAAAAGAAACAGTGTTTAGTTATATTTTTATAAAAATAAATGTGTTCTATGTAATTTGTTAGATTTGTTTCCTCAAAAATTAGCATTAGGCAACCCATATAGCACTATCGCAATATTGGTTGCGTTTCAAATTTATACGTTTTTTCAAAATTATTAATTTAATTAAAATAACTAGTGTACTTACTCCATTATAAACAACAGTAGGTACAAAAGCTGGTTTAATCATATTTGTTAATATCTCCGCTTCTAATTGCAAATTTATTCCTTCTTCGGATTCATAACAATTAGCCAAATTTTCAAAAGATAATCCAATTTGATCAAAACACTGTTAAAGAAAACGCTTAATTATTTTTAAATAATTACATATAAACGAAAATGGACTCACCTGTCGTCCAAATTCATTTTTGTTCCATCTGACCTTCTTAAATGCGGTCATAAAACACTCAATAAACCTTACTTGGTCAGTTTGATCGATTAATCGACTCAAACCGCACGACATCATCTTGTTACCTTCACATTCTCTTTGACCGTGTTGACAATGAAAAATTAAACCATTTTTATAACTCTAAAACCCAAAATAATTAAAAAATAAGTAGTTAAATAAAGAAATTTCTTACTTTACTTTTTCCAAAGGGAATAAATCGAATATCAACGTGATTTTTAATTAAATCCCATGCTGGGTAAAGTTGATATTTGATAAAATTCGAACTATCAGGACACAAAGATTCGAAATATACTTCAATTCTTAGCTGCAAATGAAATGAAAATGATAGTTTTTTTTGATTAATTGCATTCACTTACACGTTCTTGTCCGTTTAAAAAGGATTCTTGCAGCGTTAGGAAAAGAAATAAAACGAGGCCAATCTTACCCATGTTGTTCTCACGACTGTTTTACTTTTATAAAAAGAAAGTTTAACTGTACATTGTATGTTTAACATACGTGTTAAATCGTTTCGATGAATGACGACCTCGTTGTGAGATAATGCGAGTGTTATTCAATTAAAATTAATTAAATCACCTATTGTTGCAAATAAACTCACCAATTTCTTTTAAATTAACACAAATGCAACCTTTATTAATTAAAAACTAAGATTTAAACCCCATTTTATTAAAGAATTATAAAAAAAGTTATAAAAATGAACTTTGTGTAAAATAAAACGAATTTGAATTTAAAAATCGATTTAAGCGCCATCTATTTATTAAAATTATAGGTTAAATTATGGTTACCTGTAAAAGATAACCTCAAAAAATTACGCGGGAAATATCCAAATTAGAATCGTCAACAATGAGTGAATGTGAGAGATTAGTTCCTCCGGAAAATTTTGATTTTCCATTTCCACCGTATAAAATCCAAAATGATTTTATGAAAAACCTTTACGAAATACTCGAAGCGAAGAATCTAGGTATTTTCGAAAGTCCAACTGGTACTGTAAGTGTTTCTTTTATTAAGTTATGTTAAATATTTTAATTATTGTGTTTTGGTGATTAGGGGAAATCTCTGAGTATAATTTGTGGTGCTATAAAATGGTTAAAAGATCACAATGTTAGAGAACGTGAAGATTTAAGTAATCAAATTGCTGAATTAGAAGAAAAAAAGAAAGTTTTGGATAACGATGAAGATTGGTTTAATGCTCAATCTAAAGGGATTGAAATAAATAATAAATTGAGGGAGTTGCAGTTAAAGCAAAGTAAAATATTGGAGTATGATGAAAAAATTAATAAATTATTTGTTGAAAGTAAGAAGAAAAATTTTAAAAATTCGCTCAAAAAATACTCAAATAATCCAAATATTGATAAAAAAGAAATAGATGATTTAAATGATTATCAATTTGATGAGGATGATTTATTAATAAACGATGTTAATCATGATAATTCCTCTTCAGATGAAGAAGAAAACCAATCTAATCTGTATCACCCAACAAAGATTTTTATTTGTAGTAGAACTCATTCTCAATTAACTCAATTTGTTGGTGAAATCATTAAATCACCATTTGGGGAAAATGTAAGAGTAACATCATTGGGTTCACGACAAAATTTTTGTATAAACCCCAATGTAAATCGATTAAAAAACTTGGCTCTTATAAATGATAAATGTCTAGACATGCAAAAAAACGAGAAAAAGTCAAACAAAAAAGATAATGATGGAAAGGTAATTAAACGAACAAAAACTATAAGTAGTGCAAAATGTGAATTTTTTAAACAAACAAATGTGGAGAATTTAAAGGATTTATCTTTAACTCATGTTTTGGATATTGAAGATTTGGTGGTTAATGGAAAAGAATTAAAAGCTTGTCCTTATTACGCCTGTAGAAAAGCTGCGGATGACGCAGAAATTGTTTTAGTGCCTTATAACAGTATTTTACATAAAGCGACTCGAGAGGCTAATGGAATTAAAATTAAAGATAGCGTTATTATTATTGATGAGGCTCATAATTTATTGGAAGCAATGGTACAAATGTATAGCGCAGAAATTAGTTATTTGCAACTTTTTTATTGCGAAAAACAATTAAAAGGATATAAAAATAGATATAATACAAGATTTTCCTACAAAAACTTACTAAGGATTAATCAAATTTTGTTTGTTATAAAAAATTTGAAGGGATTATTTGGTGAGCTAAAAAATGTAATAAATTTAGATAATATTAATACAGTTTGTTTTAGAAAAAAACGAATCTGAAATAAAATCTCAAATATTTACTGTGGAAAGTTTTGTTTTAAAAGCGGAAATTGATAACTATAATATGTTTCAATTGGTTACTTTCTCCAAAGAATCAAGACTCCCACAAAAGGTTAATAAAATACATAAAATTGAAAATAAATTTTAATTCTAAATCTCTTAGCTACGCGGTTTTACAATTAAACACCCAGAAACCAACGAAATAAGCGAAACTCAACCCAAAAAAGGTATAAAACAATTCTTGGAGTCTTTAGAAAATAAACCAACCCCAATTAATCCATCTACAAACAAACCAACCTCAAATAAACAACCAGAACCCACTAAAACCACACCACCTGTTCCTTCAAACCCTTTATTAGCCATAATATCATTTATGGAGGCTTTAACTTACACTTACGACGATGGAAGAATTTTATTACACACTTCTAAAGAGAAAGAATCCGGAAAATTACAGTTTATGGTTTTAAATCCGACGGAACATTTTAAAGAAATCGTTCGAGATGCTCGATCTGTACGTTAATAAAATCTTTCTTACTATTAATTTTTGCTAAAGAAAAAGAATTTAGGTTGTTGTAGCTGGTGGAACTATGAAACCGATCGAAGAGTTCCGCGAGAGATTGTTTAAAAATTCAGGAGCGGAAGAAAATAGAATTGTTGAGTTTTGTTGCGATCATATTGTTAATAAAGAAAATATCCTCCCTGTTATTTTAACGAAAGGCAATCAGAATGAAAGTTTGAGGTTTAATTTTGAGAATAGATTTTCAATGGTGAGTCATTTGTGAATTATTTGAAAGTTATTTAAAAATCTAAATTTTTAAAACACTAACACTCTCAAAAAAAATATAATAGGATGGCTGAGTGAGACAGAATAAAGGTTACAAAATCTTTAACTTCCAAAAGTCACTGTATACATCGCGATACTTTAAAGGAAAATAAACTTGTCAAATTCCTGTTAATTCAATAGTCTTTAGTTTTAATCTTGTTTAATGAAGAGGGGATGTATATTTAAGGGCTAAGTTGGATTAAATGCAGAAGCGCCCATCTCTTCCAAGCAGAATTCAATATTTGGATCATATAGAATGTAGATCACAGTCCATCTAATATTTATAAATGATGTTTTTGAGTGTTGATTCTAAATTCTGATTCTATTGTGTAACAATGTAATTAAGAAGGACCTTCACAGTGGCTATTGGTGATGCATGGCAATTTATTATGCTTTTTTGGTTATACATTGCTCCTGTCACTTATGAGCGTAAGACTGAAGGAACACTTAATTCGTAGTCCTTTATTTCAAACCCAATCCAACGCACTTTAATAAGCATCAGGTTGGAAGCTGACTGGACCTGCACATATATTAAAGACGCTTTGCAGTCTAAGCCGTTTTTAAAGACGTGTGGCTAAACCCAAATGATTCTAGTTCTAGGTATAATGTTAGTTCTAGTTTTACACTTGCACTGTCACTAGAACTAACATCTAGGTCTAGACTAGAAACATTTGGGTTTAGCCGGACGTCTCTTAAGACGGCTAAACCCGAATGATTCTAGTTTAGTGTTACTTCTAGTTTTACACTAGCACTATTATTATATAGAACTAACACTATACCTAGAACTAGAATCATTTGGGTTTAGCCGTCTTTAGAGACATGTGGCTAAACCCAAATGATTCTAGTTCTAGGTATAGTGTTAGTTCTAGTTTTACACTTGCACTGTCACTAAAGCTAACATCAGAGCTAGACTAGAGACATTAGGGTTTAGCCGTACCTCTATCAAGACGGCTAAATCCGAATGATTCTAGTTCTAGTTTTACACTAGCACCCTTACTATGCAGAACTAACACTATACCTAGAACTAGAATCATTTGGGTTTAGCCGTCTTTCTCTACGTGCGGCTAAACCCAAATGATTCTAGTTCTAGGTATAGTGTTAGTGCTAGTTTTACACTTGCACTGTCACTAGAACTAACATTAGACCTAGAACTAGAATCATTTGGGTTTAGCAGTCTTGCAACATAGTGATTAAGGCGAGGTGTTATGATACTAACACATTTAAATTATAGAGATGACAAAAAGGCTGTAATCTTGTGTCCAAAATTGCAGGTTATCAAAGTGATATAAGTGCATGCAGAATTTAAACTATCAGCATACCATAAAATCCCGGTCCAGAATAAGTCATGCTGAGAACTGTGATACCGACACCGTTCTGCTTATACGAATTCCTTTCTAAATCTATTAATCTGCATAAATCTGCCAAAGTCTAATGGACGAAATGTTACTGGAATTTGACTTTGTCTAAGATATTATTCCTTCAACATTGCAAAACGAAGATCTAGAGTATTTGCAGCTAGTTTTATAAACGCCTAAGTGTAATTCTGCTAAATACTTCTTTAGATACTTCCTGGGATTTTATATATCTATTAATAATGAAACAACAGATGGAATTTGATAGCCACTTGGGTTGTTTTCTAAAAAGATGAACACTACAGAAAAGAAGTGGCATATACAAAGCAATTTGTTTTAGTTTAGTACATGCTGGAAGATTCAATGTTCATTACTCAATTATTCATTGCCACTACTCCAATATCACGAGCAATATACACAAAGATACTGAAGATCAATGAGAAGATGACGAATTAATACGATTTCTCAAACCAGTTGCATCCAGATAGACAACTTTTAATTTCTTTCCTCAACTATTACATCCGAGAATTAACACAACAGTTAAACTTATTAAACCGTATTGGCGTCAATTAAAGCAGGAAGTGTTTTCTGAATTGCTTTGACTGTGAGCAACTATATCTAAGCACCCAATGGCGATTTCATATCTTTATTTCCGGTTTTCCTAAGTGGAAGGTTCGAACACATTCGCATTGACCTAGCTGTACAAACACTGCCTAACATATATACGCATGTTAGGTAGGTTATCATATTATTTCGAAGTAATTATGGAAATCACATCAGCCAGCAGATAAGCTACACAAAATCCATATAAATTTCTATTTAAGTGATTTTAAACCGACATCCTATACCACAATAAAACCTTATTTATATTTGTACTTCATAAACTTTAAGGATCATTAATCTGGAGTGTTAGCCCACAGATAGGAAATCCGACTTTATCTTTGTTATTCGAAAATTCTAAGTTATCTCATTTTGTTCTTCTTGGTTTATAGAAACAGTCAGAAAACAATATAGCCATAAATTCATGTTAACATAATCTTTTCAATGCTTCAAGGTCATATCCCCAGAACTGATGCTTTTATATTACAAGTGCCTTCATAAGTTTCACAAAATTTCGTTATTATAATTTTCAAAGGTTTATGTTACACTGATTGAGGTTGTGTATAGCTGAATATCCACCAGGTTGATGAAACAAGGAGGACACATAACACATGGAGAGAGTTTTACGCGATGCAAAATAGCTCTTTGATTCTTTGAAGAGATAGCATAAAACCCTGCGTTCCTTGCTTTGTAGACATAATATCATAACTGCAAAAACTTTGACAGACTGCAGTTAAGACCAATTAAGATATGATTAAATCTTTATCTTGCTTCGTTTTTGCCGCCTCTAAATTCCTCTTGTTACAGAAGATAAATTTAAGTTAATTAATCTCTGAAATTTACGAATAACAATAATCATATTGCAAAATATTATTTATTTTAACAAGATAATTTATTACATATTTCCTATAGGGGCAAGTTTTAAAAGAAATTCTTTTAAAAGCTTGCAAAACCATCCCTGGCGGAATCGTCGTTTTCTTCCCATCTTACAAATACGAATCTTGGGTTTGGAACCAATTAAAACAAGTATCTTTCGAAAGAGCAGTATTCAGGGAGCCTCAACAATCCTCAAAAGTCGAATCAGTTTTGGAAAATTACTCAAAAACAATTCAAAAAACGAAAAAAGCTCTTCTTTTTAGCGTCGTCGGTATAAAATTAACTATAATTAAAAAAAATTATATTAAAACTATTATTTTTTTAGGAGGAAAATTAAGTGAAGGATTAAACTTTAGCGACGATTTAGGACGTTGCGTTATCGTTGTTGGAATGCCGTACGCTAATATCAAAGCGATTGATTTGAAGGAAAAAATGAATTATTTAAACGAAAAAGAAGTAAATATCATTTTTAATGTTTATTTTTAGCTAAACGATTTTTTGTGATGCAGGGAAATAACGCCGGGCAAAAATATTACGAAAGTTTGTGTATGAAAGCTGTTAATCAATGCATAGGGAGAGCTGTGAGACACAAAAATGATTATGCAACCGTTATTTTGGTCGATGAGCGTTATGATAGGAATTCTACAAAAGATTCGTTACCTAATTGGATTAAACGTTCCTTAATTTCGTGCGATTTTAAGGATTGTTTTGAAAAAATTGAAGAGGTAAATAAAAAATTGATTTATCTATGTGATTTATTAACGTATTCTTTTTTTTTAGTTTTTTGAAAAAAGGGATTAAGTTAAGATTATTTTTAAATTATTTAATAAATTATTTCGATATAGATTATCCTTAATAACTTGTTTAGATAGAATCTGGAACCCAACCCAACTTTCTTACCCTCATTTTACGTAATTCCTCTTCGTATTTACGCGGTGGTCTGCAAGAGTCGCCAGTTGCCGAGCCCGCGCGCCAGTATCATGTGCCCTACAGACACTCTAATTGACACTCCTCGTAATTCACTTGACAACGTCGTATAAATTCAAATGGGAACCCGTTGCCGTCGCCGTCGTTATCGTGCCCCTATGACGGCGACGACGACGTCGTTGTTGTCTCGCGAGATCAACATCTCCAAATCAAATTCCATAACTAATCAAGCCAATATAGAAGAAAAACGAAAGGAAAACGTTAAAGGTTAAAAAGATTTTTCTTCGGGATCGTTCTTTTTTGTAATTAGATTGGTTACTTTTATTTTATTTCTTCATTTCGATGAACGTTCTTAATTTCTCCGTCGAGGCGAGGAAAATGTTTAATTACTTCTTGTTACTCTGTAGACGCGCGGGTAAATAACGTAAATGGAACAAAAAGGGAACTTTTGCAGTTGGCAAGTTAACAAACTCGCACAGAATCTCTTCACGATGTAATTATAGTTGAGATTATTAACTTTGTAGTTTCATATTTATACATTGATTCTTATTTTTTTAACTAGTTATTATCAACACGGAGTTATTTCGTTTCTAGCGACGCTTCGTCGATGGTGAGGCCCATTTCGCGCTGCTGCTCAATGATTCGAACGGACATATATTATTTTTGTTGCGGAGGGTGTAAATATGATGTCACAAAGCCATTTGTTACCGAGGCTCTTCCTCTCGGTCTGTCTACAGGAAAACCACGCCGACGCCCGATATGTCGCTTCATATTTATTATCTAGTTCTGAACACATTCAACGTCAACGCCCACATATATACAGGAACATAATCCTTGTTATTTGATGCAATATCAGTGTGCAAAAAATAAGAAATTTTAAGTAAAAAGTTTTATCGAAATTATATCAATGTCTTTGAAAAAGAGTACTTTTCCACGTATTATTAATCTCATATTATTTATTTATTAAAATAGTTCGCAATGTTCCTATTTGGTAATCTGTTTGCTGAAAGCATAACATAGATGCCCGAGATACGTAATCAAATTATTACGTCCGATTTGACCTCAAAGACATCTTAGTTCATGTACACCTGACGGACAGACAGAACAGAACATCAAGACCATCCCTTCATAATCGGTTGTCATCGTCTAAAACCTCTCCTTATCTCTCTCACTCCAGTTTCAAAATTTATCCTTTCGAATTATCAATTCATTACTAATCCGGTTGGCACAAAAGAAAACATGGGGAATGGTCGCGCGTGTGTTCGTATCCGTTAATGATAAGCTCTGTGGACGTTAATAACACGTTGGGGAAATGCCGTCGCACCCCAAAACTTTACAGAGAAAAGCGCAGGGAGTTACCGTGTGAACGCAATGTGCAATTATTGCAATGTAGGCCTTAATCAGGGGCGTCCCGTCGTTTTAACGCGAGACACGCCCAGAACTGTCGTGCTGTTGAGAAACTGGGGTTATTCGCGTTTGACTTCTCCTTGCATTTCATTATCGACACAAGAATTTTTCGTTGTCGCAGTTGAATTCCCTTGCTATTGTTTGGTGGCGAGTCTTTATAGAGGAGAGAGTGGAAGCGGTTCCTTTTTTTTTGGCGTTGAAAGGGCCGAATTCTTAATTTCGCCTTTGTAAAAACGGGAGGAAGAGGGCCGAACCGTTTTTCTACGTCTTTTCTCGTCCGTCGATTTTACTTCGACAGAGGGAACGAGTTTTAATTGTCGAGGAGGGTCTTTACAATGGCGTATAAGTGTTCTATTGTTAGATATGTCAAAATATTTCCGCAAAACAGGAATCGATTCAAACCTGCGTTTTTGTTCTGTGGTTATTCAATTTATTTTAATTACATGGGAATCGAAAATAAGGATAAAGAAAATAGTGCAGGAAGTTATTTTTTGATTTTTAAATTTTTCATAGTTCTAGATTGTTCTAGAGTTGTTCTACATTGTTCCAAAGCAGCAAATAGAAAAAATAAACACTCGGCGAGAAACCCCATTTTTAGAAAAATCAGATTTTCTTTGTTGTTTTTGGTTGTTCTAGTTATTGTTCTAGAAAATCAAAATTATGGGATACATCATTACGAAGTTATAACTAAAAATAGGTTTGGCTAGTTTTTCTATTTTGAATTCCATATTACAAATATATACTTATTATACCTGTATATTTTCACTAGAACAACTCTATAAAGGACACTTCACTCTTTGAAAATGTCACAACTCTTAGTTACTTCTAAGTTACACTTAAAAATGTAAATTAATAACGCAAAACAAAGTGAATGAAAGCCTACTAAGGATGACAAATGAATTTAGTTGTCAATTTTCGTGGATTAGAAGCGTCATGAGATGAGGCATCTTAGCGCAGTGCAAGTTGCTTGCGTTGTCGCCCTTATTCAGCATGACCACTCTATTCGACATGTTAACAGGGATCTACAAGTTTACCCTTCTGTTATTCAGCGTTTATGGAATCGGTTTCGGGAGACTGGTCAACATGTTAGAAGAGCTGGACAAGGTCGAAATCGAAAAAGGTGACCTCCTAAACGACCTAAGACCCTAAGATCAAACTGTTAGAAACAGATTAAAAGAAGCGAATTTGAAAGCTAGAAGACCTGTCCGCGAACCACGCCTTACGCAGCATCACAAAGTCCAGATTAGAGTATATAGACCTGGTGAACGCTACGCAGTTGGTACTATACAGGAAGTGAATAGATTTGGTCGGGGATCTATTATGGTTTTGGCTGGAATCAGTAAAGACAACAGAACTGATCTTGTTGTTCTTTCTGGTAGACTAAATGCCATGAATTACATCGAAAACATCTTGGAGGACCATGTGGTGCTTGCTTCATATGGGGTCTGTCAAGATATCATCCTAATGCAGGATAATGCAAAGCCACATACTGCCGGCATCACCAGTAACATTGTGGAATTCAGATCATGGAATGGCCGGCGTTAAGTCCTGACTTGAATTTTATTGAACACGTGTGGAATCAGCTTGACCGAGGCGTTCGAAAGCGCCTTAATCCACCACTAACCATACTGGAACTGACACAAGGCCTGAGGAATGGGAAAGCATACCCCAAGAATCTCTTCGCACACTAGTGCAAAAGGTAAACCTCATCAATCCACAGAAAACCCGACTGTCATCGATACTATGAGAGTCACAACCAAATTTGATTTGCCTAGAACTATTATTTAAAAAGTTACAGATTTCAAAAAAAGTGTTCCCCTAACTTTTTTGAGTAGGGTATATAAATATTGTAATAATAACCGATTACACATAATTTGGTCATATTTGATTGTCGTATTGATCGTAGAAGAGTTTATGAGATTGTAAATGAGATTCTAATAATTGTAAAATAATGTTAGATACTATACACTAGTGAATTTCGATACATTTTATTGTTCTTTAATGTTCTAATCCTAAGATATCACTTGTAAAGTCGATACGAAGTAATTTTAAAAATTATCTACATACATATATCAGATAACCTCAATTTCAATTTTTCAAAATTATTTATTTAAATCTTTATCTACCTGGTTCAAACCTATTGAAAACGATAACCTTAACTTAGTTAACAAAGAAAATAATCAATATTTATATGGAATAATGAAATTTGGATGAAAATTTACAAAATTAATTTGAACATATTGGAAAATTTATCGTTGAAATCAGAAGAAAATGAATAGATATTTAAAAAATTATTTAAAAGAGCATCAAAATTACGAAATATCATACATACTTATAAATAATTTCAAATTTTTTAAATAATAATTTGACAAATTGAATTAGAGATATTTCAAATGTCAAAGTTGGTGACATTGAAAAAACTAAAGTACGAATTTCAAATCGATGAATTTAACCAATCAGGAGACGTTATTTGAAAATTTAACATTTGAAAAACGGAATTTATCAACAAAATGGTGGTTGTTGTTGTGTGAAGAAACGCACGCATTTTTTTGCTCTCAAAAATAAATTAAGTCAACGTTTAACAAGTGTAAAAAAAAATATCTGTTCTTATCGAAGAAACCAATTTGTTCAGTTCCTGGCATAAATCATTCTTCTGGTGAAGAGAAAGTCCTGAATCAAACTGTTCCTGTCACGAAGAAAATATCCTGAGTTTGACCTCCGAAGTTTTCATAGAAACAAACTGGCTAAGTTAAGTTATTTTTTTAAATAATTTGTTTTGTTGATTCAAAAATTTAAAAAAACTCTTCTTACCTTCAATACAATAAGTTTTCTTGATAAGTTCACTATAAAATGTTGAGGTTAGGATTACAATTCCCCTAATTAATTTAATTTTTCACGAGATTTTAAAAACTTAACAATATCCGGATTGATAAATACTACTTCGTATTAACTAATTCGTATTATTAACTAATTAAATTTTGTCAACAACATTTCACTTTAAGTTGTGCACGTGTTTGTCTGGACGGTGTTGCCAGAACCTGCTTTTGACCCTGAGATATAATTCGACAATTATATTTCAATATTTAAATTTTTTCAATTTAATAAAAATCAATTTATTATTAAATTTAATAATATCATTTTTATTGAAATAATGTTTTTCGAAAGAAGAGGGGCTATTTTCTGGCCACATTACAATATATAATAAATATATATTATATATAAATATATCTCTGTGTGGGTGGGACACAGATATTTAGTTTTTAATACATAATGTATAATACAAATAGTGTATTTTTGTCTGCTGATCGAATAGTTGGATTATTCATTTGTTGATTTATTATTTTTCTTGTTAGATCTGCATTATCGCTGTATTTTGAAGAAGATATGATTTTGCAAAATTAATGTCCGTGTAACCAGATAAACCTTTTCTTCCCTAGATTAAACGTAAAACATCTAGAACAATTTGAATGAGCAAAGTTTGAGTTATTTTAGATTGTTCTATGTGTTTTAATTCTTATTGTGTAATTTAAAACCACTGACTGAGCAAGAATTACTGACTGAAACTTTCA